TGTGAATTTGGGTCCCACGCACATGGGAATGCTGGATTGTGGTGAGATATTAACAGAGATTTTCTGGAACCTTCTACCCAGTGCCACAGTCTAAATGATCAAGGTAATTTATTCGAGATTACTTTTTTTTGCTGAAAGTGAGCACTTTGGGGTCCCAGCCTTATGCAGGATCACTTTCTACTACACTCCTTACCTTAAACTGTTCTAGAATTAACTCTCCTGTTCCCTCTGTCAAAACAGAAGCTCAAGGTCACCAGCACTTGGGCCTCAAGAGTGAAAGTCAGGTGAATACCTGTTTTCTTCTTTGAATTCCTGCTTCCATTTCCAAAGATTCTTTTTATCAGTTCAACTATATATTTTAAAAATATACATACTGCATTTTATCCAGCATTTCTGTTGTTCAGGTATTTTAAAATCTTCTACAGTCTAATTTTTATCTGCTTGATTTACTAGTTTTGAACAGAATTGCATTAAAATCTCTCATTGTAATTATAGACTTAAAAATTCTGTTTTTGCTTTGTATTTTTCAAGGCTATGTTTAAGGTGCATGCAAGTTTATATTATTATACCTTCTCGGTAGATTTTTCTTTTATTAATGTGTATTGTTGCATTTTTTTCTTTATTAAAGTTCTTGGTCTTTCATCTGTCCAACATTGACCTACATCAGTTTTCTTTTCCCATTTTTTGGTAGTTTTATTTTTGGTATCTCTAAATAGATAGACAGATGATTCTGTTTTTATTCAAATTGTCAACTATGTCTTTTAATAAAGATCAATCCATTTATATTTATTTTGAAACTACTCATATATTTGGAATTCCTTCTATTTGTTTTCTATTGTATTTATCATTCCTTTCCTTTGCTTAAATTTTTTTTTTTTTTTTACGATTTTAAGGTTTCCTGTCTTCTGCTGAACTGACTAGGTTTTCAATATTCTCTTTTTCTTCTCTTCTGCTAGTTTGAAAGCTATAAATTGTATTTCCATTATTTTAGTTATCTTTTTCATTGTATATATTTAGTTATACATTGTTCTGAAAGAGTCTAAAGTTACTAAACATTTCTATCATCCTCTTGAACATGAAGTGGACCTTATATTATACCCTCTCACTGAACAAAACTCCCTCATACATATAATCTATTTGCTCTTACTATCTAGAGTCACACTGTCCAATTTGGTAGCCATTAGTCACACGCAGCTTCTGAGCCCTTGATGTGTAGCCAGTCTGAATTGAGATGTGCTCTAAGTGTAAAATACACACTGGATTTTGAAAACTTAGCATAAAAAAAGTAAAACATCTCAATAATTTTTATATTAATTACATGCTGAAATGATATTTTAGACATACTGGATTAAATAAAATAAATTATTAAAAATAAAATATGTCTTTTTTCCTTTTGTTTTAAGTGAGAAAGCAGGAATTATTGAGAGGATAAAGCTTCAAGAGTGGAAGCGGGCCCAAGGTGGTTGTCCCTTTTTTTTCTTTTTTAATGTGACTACTATAAAATTTAAAAATAATATATGTGGCTAGCATTACATTTCTAATGGGTAGTGTTAATCTAGAGTTTTAATTTTTATACTGTTTTATTTATTTATTTATTTTTAGTTGAAGTCTCAGACTGGAGTGCAGTGGCCGCTCCTGGCCACCGCAGCTTCGACTTGCTGGGCTCTGGCGATCCTTCCGCCTCAACCTTCCAAGTAGCTGGAACTACAGGCGCACGCTACCACACCCGACTAATTTTTGATTTATTGTAGAGATGAGGGCTCACCAAGTTGCCCAGGCAGGTCTCGAACCCGCGGGCTCAGGCAATCCACTCACCTCAGCCTCCCAAGGCGTGGGATTACAGGCTAAGCCACCGAGCCTGACTTTTATACTGTTTTAAATGTGCCCCCCAAAAGACTCCTGAATTATCTTCTTTCTGCAATTAATAACATTTAACATTTCACCTAATACAAATTACTCCATCTAGATTAACAGCTTATATGGATATAATACGGCATTGAACATTATTTTGCCTTAATATTGAAAATATTAATATTACTCCACTTTCTCCCAATATCAACTGTTGCTGATGAGAAACTTTATGTTAGCTTAATTATCATACCTCCATAGGTAACCTGGCTTCTAACTTTGATAGCTTTGAGATTTTCTTTTTATTTTTGATATTCTAGAGTTTCACCACAACCTGTCTAGATTTAGATTTATCTTTATTTAGCCTGCTTGACACTCTAAAGTTCACTTTTTATTTGAGGTCTCAGGCTCTTCTTCAATACTAAAAATTCTCAGCCATTGTATCTTCAAAATTTAGTTCTCCACCAATCTATCTCTGCAACTCTTTTTTTTTTTTAAGTGACAGAGTCTTGGTCTGTCACCCAGGCTGGAGTGTGGTGGTACAATCATAGCTCACTGTAGCCTCAACTTCTTGGGCTCAAGTAATCCTTCTGCTTCTGCCTTCCAAGTAGCTGGGACTACAGGTGTGTGCCACCATGCCTGGGTAATTTTTAAAATTTTTGTAGAGATGAGGTCTTGCTATATTACCCAGGTTGGTCTGAAACTCCTAGGCTCAAGAGGTCTTCCTGCCTCAAACTCTCAAAGTACTGGAATTGTAAGCGTGAGTCACTGTATCTGGCCTCGTTATTTTTTTCTTTTTAAAAGAGACATGGTTTCACTATGTTGCCCAGGCTGGAGTGCATTGGCACAATCATAGCTCACTGTAACCACAAACTCCTTGGCTCAAGCAATCCTTCTGCCTCAGCTTCCCAAAGTGCTGGGATTACAGGCATGAGGCCACTGCACCCAGCCTGCAACTCTATATACACTAGACTCTCTCAATAAATCTTCCTTCAAAGATTCAACTACTCTTTCTTCAACTACTCTTTCATACTTTTATCTTTTTTTCTGTGTTCTCTGTGAATTTTTTAGTACTACTTTCCAACTCATTAACTCATTTATCAGTGGCTTAAAGAGTAACGTTTATCCCATCTATTAAGTTTTTTATACACCAACTACTTTTTTAATTTCTAAGAGTTCTAGTTGGTTCTTTACTACATTAATTTGTTTAATCACTTCTGTTTTGTGCTCTCTTTCATTGGCAGTACTCTTTAATTTCTTTGAGCATGCTAAAAAGGCTTAAGAGTTTCTCCAAGTCAATGGAATACTATGCAGCTGTTAAAAAGAATAAGGTCATCCCATGGGTACTAAAATGGAATAATCTCTAAAATGTTATTAAGTGAAAAAAGCAAGGTAAATAATAGTATGTGTAGAATGCTACCATTTATATAAAAGTATATGTATATGTGAGCGTGTGTATAAATGCTTGTACATGCATAAACTATCTCAGAAAGGATAATAAGAAATTGGTAATAGTGGTTGCCTCTGGGGAGGAAAACTGGGTGGCTAGGCGACAGAGGTGGAGATAGACTTACTTTTCACTGTTTACCCTTTTGTACCTTTGAATTTTGTACCACGTGCATGTATTACCTAGTCAAAAAAAAATAAATAAAATAATTTATTTTTAAAAAATAAAGTCTTTGTTGGACTACTCCATAAAATTAATTTCATCCAGAGAAAATGCCTGTTCTAGTGGTTGATTTTGCTATATTAATATTAGATGTCTTAATAAAGTTAAAACTTTTCTTTTCTCTCCCTCCCTAATTGATGGTTTTAGAGTTGCCCCCACCTGACCCTCTGGGCCCCCAGTCCACAACCAGGCTTTATAATGACATTTCAGGGCTCCAGTTTTATAAGGATATTGGAAATATCATAAATACATATTCAGTCACTGACTCAGCAAGGTTTCATTCAATGTCTGTTGATGAGGCTGTGTCTTTATTAGCTAACACCTATAGCCCCAGGTACTGAACAGCTTTTTTCTTTCTTCAGCTTTTCATAATAAGACAGACATGTCAATCAAACCCTTAACTTTACTAATTTATATTTCTTTTCTTTCTTTCTTTTTTTAAGTAACCATTATACTAACAAGGACAACCCCTAACTTTATGTGGCAGTTCTGGCTCTGGCTCCTGCCTCACATAAAGCATTTTAACACGTTTTAATCCTTTCACCTGACAGGAACAAAACTACTATATGTCAGTGCTAGGCTGAAATACAGCAGGCCTGTGGTTTCAGTCCTGCGTCTGTGTTCCATTCCTGGCTCACAAATATGTTTATGTTGTTTCAGAATCTGGCTGTATTTTCTGTACTGTCTATTGTAACCTATTATTCTTTGTGTCTGGAGCACAAGGGTTATATCAAAATGCAGAATGTTACCTTGACTAGTAATTTCCATATTTTTAGAACATAATAATCATAAAATATATAAAGTTTAGAAAAAGTACTTATAATCCATCCATTCTAACTCAACTACCATTAACATTTAAAATTATTTCCTTTTAATCTTTTTCTTCTGCATTATTTCATATTTATATAACTTTTATTACAATTTTAATCTATATTTTCCCAAGCATTTGTCTATGCTGCTATGTAGTCTCTATGATCATTTTAATGATTGAATATTAGTCATCAAAATTCTCAATTGTAATTAACTTCCAACACTATTAAGACTCAAGAAACTTCCAACAATGCTACAAAGTTCTCTGTGCATGTTCTTTTTCCTCTTAACAGGTGGGATTCAGAGAGTGGTAGGATGGTAGTGAGAGATGTTAAGTAATGGGACTGCCGTACTTCTACACAGATCATTAGCATAAAGGCATTATAGAACTAGCATAAAACATGGCTGAGGTTCTAACGATGACCCTGATATACAAAGAGAAAAGGTTATATTATATAGAAGTGAAAAATGTATTTCAGAAAGTCTCCAATCCAAAATAGTTAACAGTAAGTTTTGTAATTACAGGATTAAGTTTTACAAAGGATTAGATTCACAATTCACAATGTGGATCATCTAGCACTGCTGGATAAGGCATTACACATTTTCACTAACTTCCAAAATAGAATATTTTGGGTCATACTAATAAAGTTCACCTTTTCACTGTAATACCAACCTTATATTATTTACACAGTCTTCATGAGCTTCAGAAAGTGTTTTTATGTGCTTTGAAGATATAGGGTCAAAAAGCAGAACTTCTGTTTGTTCACAAGCAACTGTCAGCACTGACCTGAAAGCAAATGACACATTTATTTTGTTTAGTTTTCTAGCATTCTCTAGTTATTGATATTCACTTGTTTATAATTATACAAGTTATAGATAAATAACTTGTTTTGCCCATATTAGTAGCAAATATTTAAAAGTTGATACTATCCACGGTTGGCAAGAGTAGTAGGAAATGGTACTCTCATACATTATAATAGAGTATAAACTAGTACAGTTTATATTTGGAAAACACTCTAATGTATCTACCAAAATTTTAAAGGGACACCTTTTGACTTAATTTTTTCAGAGAATTTAAACTACAGAAATCATTTATAAATACAAAGAGACATTATATGTATGTATATATAAAATGGTATGCTTATTGTAAAAAGGATAAATTGAAAGTAGCTTAAATGTACATAACAGAGGGAGTGAATGATTATATAAGCAATGGTATACAATACTTTGAAATACTGTTCAGAAGTTAAAAAGTCGGGGTAACTTTATATGGCTATGAAAGAATCACAAAACATACCTTTAAATGAGAAAAGTTAGTTGCAGAAAAACATGCACAGATTATATAACTTAGGGAGAAAAATCATAAACAACCAAATTATATATCAATATTTTCATCAGTATCTATAAAATGTACTAGAAAAGATATGGCATATAGTCTACCAGACTGGTTAGATACAGCCAAATGTTAGTCTTTTCCTTTATGGTTTTTTAGCTTTTGTCTCTTATTTCAGGCCTTCCGCATCACAAGTTTTTATTTTTATAATTTTTTTTTTTTTTTTAAATAGGAGTCTCACTCTGTTGCTTAGGCTGGAGTGCAGTGGCATGTTCACAGTCACTGCAGCCTCAACCTGCTTGACTCAGACGATCCTTCTGCCTCAGCCTTCCAAGTAGCTGGAACTACAGGCATGCACCATCACTCCCAGCTTATTTTTCTTGATTTATTATAGAGATGAGGTTTTGCCAAGTTGCCCAGACTGGTCTCAAACTCATGGGGGCTCAGGCAATCTTCTCACCTTGGCCTCCCAAAGTGCTGGGATTATAGGCGTGAGCCACCACTCCTGGCCTATAAATCTTTTACATATTTCATTTTTATTTGTGGAAATCTATTGTCTTTTATCTATTTTGATTAAGTCTTAAGTTTTCTGTGGACACTGCTGCTCTTTCAGATTCAGATCTAGCAAATGAAATCCTGAGTCCTTGAAAACCCACATCTCCCCAGTGTATAGTTCCAATAACTAACAGTATTTTATTCACATTAGATGACAGTATACAATACAGAATTTTAAATAGCCAAACTTTTCTATTCAGAACAAACATTTTGGGTAAAGTAGATGAAAATAGCATCTACTGAATTGAAATCTTGGCTGGGTGCGGTACCTCAAGCCTGTATCTCAGCACTTTGGGAGGCCGAAGTAAGAAGATTGCCTGAGCCCACAGGTTTAAGAACAGCCTGGGCAACTTGGGGTGACCTCATCTCTACAATAAATTAAAAAATTAGCCAGGCCTGATAGCATGCGCCTGTAGTTCTGGCTACTTGGAAGGCTGAGGCGGAAGGATTACCAGAACCCAGCAGGTCAACGCTGGGGTGGCCGTGAGCATGCCACTGCACTCCAGCCTGGACGACAGAGACTCCAACTCAAATAAATAGAAGCCGGGCTCGGTGGCTCAGCCTGTAATTCCAGCACTTTGGGGGGTTGAGGTGAGTGAATTGCCTGAGCCTGCGGATTCGAGACCCACCTGGGCAACCGGGTGAGACCTTATCTCTACAATAAATCAAAAGTTAGCCAGGCGTGGTCGCGCACGCCTGTAGTTCCAGCTACTTGGAAGGCTGAGGCAGAAGGATCGCCAGAGCCCAGCAGGTCGAGGCTGCAGTGGCCGGGAGCAGCCACTGCACTCCAGTCTGGGTGACAGAGTGAGACTCCAACTAATAAATAAATAAATAAATAGAAATCTTTTTCAATTTTATATGTAGCACATCAATTTCTGCTAAAAAAAAATCTTGTTGGGATTTTTACTGAAATGTACAAACTTTACAGGTTACTTCGGTAGAACTTATATTATACAATACTGAATCACCTCATACAATAACATGCACATTTTCCCATTTAACATTTTATTAGCAAGAGTAACTAAGCAGTTATTGGACTTTTGACCATCCTTGTACATGTAGAATCAATTTATCAATTTATGTACACATACACACAAAACCCAGTTGTAAGTTTTAATTGAGATTATATTAAGTTTACAGAAAAGTTTGTATAAAATTAAATCTTCACAATATGGAGTATTCTGATCCATGAATATATTATATTTCCATTTACGTAAACTGTCTAATTCTCTTAATAAAGTTTTATAGTTTTCTCCATATGGAACATGCCTATCTTCTGTTAGACTTATTCCTAGGTATTTGATGTTTTTTAGATGTTCTTATAAATGTTCTTTTAAAATTTTGCTTTGCTTATTGCTGGGGTACAGAATATAGCTGATTTTTTAATATTAATTATTTATCCATCAATCTTGCTATTTTAATACTTTGTAGACTTATTTTGGGTTTTCTTTGTTGACAATCATATCATATACAATAATTGCTTTGTTCTTTTTAAAACTTTTTCCTTCTCCTTTTCCTTGCTACATTGGCTAGGACTTTCAAAACAATGATGAACAGAATTATTTTTTGTCGGTTTTTTGTTTGTTTTGGGGGGTTTGGTCTTTTTTTGAGATACAGTCTTACTCTGTCACTCAAGCTGGAGCACAGTGGCATGATCATGGCTCAAGTAGCCTCAAACTCCTGGGTTCTGGTTATCCTCTAGCCTCAGCTTCTCAAGTAGCTTAGACTATAGTTGAGGGCTACTATGCCCAGCTAATTTTTTTTTTTTTTTTGAGAGATGGGGGTCTCGTTATGTTGACCAGGCTAGTCTCAGGCTGGCTTCAAGTAATCCTCTGGTCTCAGCCTTCCAAAGTGCTGGGATTATAGGCATGAGCCACCACATCTGGCCTTGAATACAAATGTTAACAGCAGGCACTACTCTTGCTCCTTATCTTTTAGAATACATTCAACATTTCACGATTAGGTACAATGTTTGCTATAGGTTTTCATACTGGATTAAGGGAAGTTCTCTTCTACTTCAATTGTGCTAAGTTTGTTTTTTTTTTTTCATAAATATATGTCAAATTGTGTAAGACATTTTTCAGCATTAAGATATTTGCATGTTTTTTCCTGTAATATATTAAGTAGCAATTTACATTAATTTATTTTTAAATTTCAAATTAACCTTTTATTTCTACCACATAGCTAGGTTTAGCTAGCAAATATTTTGTTTAGGATTTTGCCATCTATGTTCTTCAGTGAAACTATGGTAATTTTGCTTTCCTGTGCTGTTCTTCTCAGGTTTTGGTATAAAGCATATACTAACATCATAAGTTGAGGACTGATCCTTGTTATTTCATAAACTAGAATAATTTGTGTAAACATAAGTTATTTTTTGTAAGTTTGGTAGTATTTGTCTATAAAACCATCTGAACCTAACTACTAACACAGTATTAATGATTATGACATTATTTAGCTTTCTACATCTTTTACTGTCAGTTTTGGTAATTTCTATTTTTCTAGGAATTGGCCTATTTCACTGAAGTTTAAAATTTCATTACCATAAAGTTGTTCACAATATCTTCTATTTCTATTTTTAGGATTTTAAAATTGAAGTATAAAATACATCCAAAAAACTGTACAAATCATACAAATGCATCACAGTGAATTATCACAAAGGAAAGACACCCGTATAAGTATCATGTAGGTCAAATTATAGAGTGCTATCAATACTCCAGAAGCCCCCCCACTTTCTAACTGCCTCTTCTTAACTGCTAATCCCTCCTTACTCCCAAGGTAATAACCATCATCTCAACTTCTAATATTGCCTTTAAGAAAGCTTTTAATAAAATAATATGAATTTTTATGGCTTATTTTACATAATATTATCTTGTGAGATTCATCCATGTGATTGCTAGCTCTTGATTTCTCTGAGTGTTATATAAATAAACAAATAAACTACAACTTATTTATACATTCTACTGTTGGTGGATATTTGTGTTCCTTATAATTATGAATAAGGTTGTTTTAAATTTTTATATGTCCTGCAATAAACATGCATTTCTGTTGGATGGATAATAGAGGTAAAACTGAATTATAGGATACTAGTTTGATCATTTAGAAGGTAATAACAAACAGCTTACAAAGTAGTTAAATCATACTCTGATTTTTACTCCTTCTTTTTACCTTTGGCTATAATTTGCTGTCTGCTTAGAAGTTCTTGAGATGGATGCCTACTTAGCTTACTTTCAGCCTTTCTTTTCTTTTCCTTTTTTCTTTTTTTGATTCAGGGTCTCATTCTGTTGCCCAGGCTGGAATAGTGTCATGATCATGGCTCACTGTAGCCTCCAACTCCTGGGCTCAAGCAATCCTTCCACCTCAGCTCCCCAAGTAGCTGGGATGACAGACATGCACCACCACATCCAGCTAATTATTTTATTTTACTTTTTGTAGAGATGAGGTCTACTATGTTGCCCAAGCTGGCCTTGAACTCCTGGGCTGAAGTGATCCTCCCATCTCTGCCTCCCAAAATGCTGGGATTATAGGTGTGAGCCACCATGCCTGGCCTTCTTTTTTAACATATGACTTTAAGGCTGTAGATTTTCCTTTATACATGGCTTTAGCTACAATTATGTAAATTTTGATATACAGTCATTCAGCTTCAAATATTTTGTAACTTACACTGTGATTTCTTCTCTGATTCAGTTATTTAAAAGATTTCCAAACATAAGATTTTCCAGTTATTTATTTATTGCACTTTCATTGAAGAATATACTCTGCTCAGCCTCAATCTTGGAAACTATATAAATGTGCTTTTTGTGTTTGATATCAACACAACACACCAACTTTCATTTAGTTAATTCTAGTGTAATTGAGTATCTCAGCCTTGAAATGCACTTTGAAGTTTCCTTTTTCCCCTT